ACTTGAATTATATTTAAATATTAAATCTAATCAAACCTAATCTAACAAATCTATTTTAATATTTAAACAACGAGTAAATGGTTCATCCCCTCTTAGCAGCTACCCACTCCTAAGGGTGAGATGAAACCCCATAACATCAACCTCGAATCAAGTCTTCACATGACGGAAGAGACAAGGTACTAACCTTTGGTCGAGCATGGTCCCTAGCAAAGTCTGGTAAGATGTCGAGCATAACCTCGAGAATCTACCCCCAAAGCAACGAAACTAGGATCTAGCGCAAACAACATAACAAATAAAAATAACAGTAAGTTAAAATATGTTGTCACAACATATACAAAACTTATACATACATAAAAGGCATGTCAAGGATGATCGAACCAAGTAAAAAAAGTACATAAGGACTACGCATTCGGCTAATCCTAAAAGGAGATCATGTTAGACTTTTAGGGTCACAAGTGTAATGTTACATGTGTTAGAGCCATTATGTAATTAGCCAAAGTTATAGTGGTCAATTAATAATAAGTTTGTGGTTAAAAGCATAAATGTCATGAAAGATTGGGTTATTGTGTAAATATCATAAGCTAGTGTCTAATTTGATTAGGGGCCAAATTAGAACATTGAAAACAAAGAAATAACCCTAAGGTTATTTATAGGGGTTATGGTCCCCATTTGTAGACAACGAAAAAAACAGCTTATCAGAAATTCTCTTTTCATCCCCATCAGTGGAGAATCTAGGAGCCATAAGGAACTTTACAAATTGGAAGATCAAATACCCGCAAACCATCGATGATTCTCAATGGTAAATTCATGTACGCTTCGGATTTCATTCTCATAATTGTATTCAAGTATGGATTTAATGGACTTATTTAGGGTTATGTTATTAATTTCTATATTGATAAAAATTGTAAGATTTATGAACATATCTAACAAGTGGTACCAGAGCCTGGTTTGAAAACTGAATTTTCCATTCACAACATACAATAATCCCAATTCAGTATTCAACACGAAATTCATGAAATATAAACCGAAAACATGAATAACAATATAAAAATTAAACTTCATCCAAAATGGAAGATAAATAAATATCTCAACTTTAGAACCCTAATATAAAAAGGAATCTCAAAAACCATGTGATCAACACCATAAAAAATAATGATTTATACAATTGGAAAATATCCAAAATAATAGTATGAATACATAATACCAAAACACAGAACATATAATTCATAATTGACTAACTCCCACTGAACAAAAGACTCCTCTTATGGTAAAACACCCATGTGAGCATTGTGATCATGAAAGATCTTGGGTGGAAGACCTTTTGTAAGAGGATATCCTTTTATGGAGTTTGTCCCTTAATGTTCTATAGAAATTTGTCCATTTTGTATCTTTTCCTTAACAACTAGTAACTTGATGTCAATATGTTTTGACTTGGTTGAGTTCCTATTATTGTTGGAATACATGAAGGCTTATTTGTTTTCACAGTATAACTTAAGTGGCATTTCAATTTCTTCCATAATTTGCAGCCCAGTGGCAAGATTCCTCGGCCAAATCCCATGGTTGGATGCCTTATAACATGCTATAAACTATGCTTCCATGTTGGATGAAGCCGTAAGAGTTTTCTTAGAACTACGCCAAGAAATTATACTACCAACCAACATGTAGATACAGCCTGAAGTGGATGTTTTACTATTTTGGCATCCAACAAAATCTAAGTCAGAGTATGCAGTGATCTCTAATTGGTCTGACCTCCTATATGTGAGCATATAGTCTTTTTTTTCTCTTTAAATACCTCATAACCTTTTTGGTTGCTTTCCAATGATCCATTTCTGGATTGCTCAAATATCTGCCTAGCATTCATTGAGGAATGTCGTCTTTACATCCATTTGATGGATTTCCAGATTATAATGTGCAACAAGATCCATGATTGTCCTAAAAGAGTCTTTCAATAAAACCAGGGAGAAATTATCTTTAAAGTCAATCCCTTCCTTTTGAGTATAACTCATAACCATAAGACGAGCTTCATACCTTTCCACATTACCGTTAGAATCCTATTTGGTCTTAAAAATCCATTTGCAACCAATGGGTTTCACACCTTCTGGTAATGAGATAAGTTTCTAGACTTAATTGTCTTGCATGGACTTATGCTCCTCCTTCATTGCTTCAATCCACTTTTCGAGTTGGAATCCTGCATGGCTTGAGGGGAGTTGATTGGATCATCTTTCATCATAAAATTATTTTCCTTATGTTCTTGGAGAAAGACTGCGTAATCATTCGGAATAGCATTTCTTCTTTCTCTAATGGATTTCTGCAAAGGTATTGGTTCTTGTAAAACTTGTTCTTGAGGATTTTGAGTTTGTTCTTCATGAATTACCAAATCATCTTGAGTAGGAGTAAATCAACAATGTCTTGTGGAGATTCTATACTTATTTGATCAAAAACAATTGTATGTATCGGTTCTGGAATTGTTAATGATTCTTCCTCTAAAACAAAGTTTCTAACCTTATTCTTTCCCCCAAACTCAATATCCTCAAAGAATGTGTGTATTACTGTCTCAAAAATTGAATTTAATTTGGGATCATAAAATTTGTAGCCCCTAGATATTTCATAATTACCAATAAAGTAGTTGCTCATTGTTCGGGAATCCAATTTCTTATCATTTGGCCTATAAGGCCTTGCCTCAGCTGGACATGCCCACACATGAAAATGTTTTAAACTAGGCTTTCGCCCGGTCCAAAGCTCGTAAGGTGTTTTGGCAGCTACTTTTGTTGGTACTCTATTTAAAATATAAGTTGCAGTCTTTAGTGTCTCTCCCTAGAGTAACTCTGGCAATATAGAATTATAAATCATACTCCTTACCATATCCTTAAGAGTCTGATTTCGTCTTTCAGCAACACTGTTCATGCTAGGCGATCCTAGCATGGTGTACTGTGTGATGATTCCACATTTCTCTATGTATTTGGCAAAAGGCTCTAGACGTTGTTCATTTGAACCATTATATTTGTCGTAATATTCCACGCCACAGTCAGATTTGACTTTCTTAATTCTTTTGTTGAGTTGACTCTCAACTTCAACCTTAAATGATTTGAGCACATCTAATGATTGAGACTTTTCATGGATGAGAAATATATATGCATATCTAGAATAATCGTCTATGAATGATATAAAATATTGTTGACCACTCTAAGAAGATGTAGGAAATGGTCTACAAACTTTCGTATGTATCAATTCTAAGACATCTGTAGCTCTATGTGCACCATATTTCTTTGTTTTGGTTTGTTTACCTTTAACACACTCAACACAAACATTAAAGTTTTTGAAGTCAAAAGAATTCGAAATTCCATCTGGCACTAGCCGCTCAACTCTATTTTTAGAGATGTGACATAGGCGTTTATGCCATAATGCTCCTGAATTGTTATCATCAATTTTACGCTTAGTATCACGTGATTCCACATTCAAGGATTCTCCATATGCAGCTATTGTGTCAAGCAAATATAGATTATCACGATCTATAAGTGAACCAATTCCAACAATATCTGGATCGAAAGACAAATTGAACATATTGTTTCCAAATGAACAAAAATAACCTAATTTGTCCAAATAAGAAACCAAAATTAAATCCATCTAAATGACAGAACTACAAATGTGTCTTTCAAATCCAAATAAAATTCGTTACACAGTAATAATCTAAAATACCATATAGCTTCCACCTCCAACAACTTGCCATCTCCCACATAGATGTATCTTTCAACATCATTTGGCTTTCAATAGTTTAGGCAACCCTTCATTAAAACACTGATATTAGTATTTGCACCATAGTCTAACTACCAAGTGTTTCCAAATACTGAAGCTAAATTCACCTTAGAACAGACCAAACCATGCTTCATGTGATTTGCCCCAATAAGGACCAGAACTGAATTCAGATTAGCAGATATTGAATTAATTGTAGCTGAAAAACAAGAACAAAATTAAATACCATAAATATACTCACATAAAAGAAAACTGAATTATCAATTTATTCAAATAATGACGTAATCCATCTCAAGATACCTAGTGCACCATCAATATTTAGTTTTTGAATACTAATATTAACTTCTAGTGGTACTCTTGTTGTAACGATCAAATATTGATAATAAAAATATGTCGAACAATAAACCCCTCTTTGGATTGATTTATCATTCACATGTAAGACGATATAATTATCACATGTTTACCATCACATGCGCGTATGAAAACCTGCCAACCACCAACTGTTATTTGGGTCAATTGATACTCACATGGATAAACACACATAAAACCGAAAAATCATTTAATATTTCTCATAAATAATCTCCATAAAAAATATCACTTTAACGACTTTTTCATTTCAACTATTTACTTAAAAAGGTTAAATTGTTGTATAAAAACTTAAACCAGGGTCAAAATTTAAACAAAATTAAACTAAAAATTAATGAATAAAACAATTAAGGGACATGATCATATAAATCAAAACAACATATTCGTATTTCAATCCGTGTTCGCTTCATTATGTGAAGCACAGCACAACCATAACAAACAATATATCATATATTAATAATGATAATAATGATAATAATGAATAATATAATTATTATATATTATCAAATCAAAAAGAAATTGATCAAATAAATTAAACTAAAACAAGAAAATTTGACTTTCTTTGGAAAAAACTCACCATAAACAAAAACTATAATTTAATCAATTTCTATTTAATTTAACTGAACCAAATTAATATATTGAATTCTTATTATTTATAATAAGAAGCCATATTATTAATCATAATAAAAAAAACTATTTAAGTATTATAATTAATAAGAAGCCATATTATAAATAAAAAAAAAAAAAAAAAAAAGATGGATCTATGCCATCTATGCTACATATAGAATCATGCGAATGTTATTTTTTTAGATAAATGATAACTTTAAATGATGAGCAACTTTTCGCTCTTTTAAAAGTAATACCAGAATTTTCTTTTAAAATTTATGCTAATGTTATTTCAGTTTTTGTACAGATGTATATTCAAAGTAGAGTATAAAGCTTCAAAAGGAATGGGTAAAAACAAGATGTTCTCATTAACGAATAAAAATCCTAAACAAGATACGTTGAATCCCAATTACATTACTACAAACACATTGATTTATCTGCTGCACAGAAAGTGCATAACCATAGATATACATGCGACAACAAATAAATAAAAGCCAAATCTAAAAACTAAATCTAAGCCTTCTTTGGAGTTTTCTTGGCCTTTGTTGGGGACTTTGGAGTAGTGGCAGCAGATTTTTCAGTCCTCTTAGGCAAAAGGACAGGGTTGATGTTAGGAAGAACACCACCGTGGGCAATTGTAACACCAGCAAGCAAATTCCCAAGCTCTGTATCATTCCTAATAGCCAACAACAAGTGTCTTGGACTTATCCTGTTCTTCTTGTTATCACGTGCAGCATTTCCAGCCAACTCAAGAACCTGAACAAACGGAAAATTCCAAAATTCAGGATCTCAAATTCAACATCACTGATTCATTAAAGATAAAAGAGGGAAAATGAAATTTACCTCAGCAGCGAGATATTCGAGAACTGCGGCTAAGTAAACAGGAGCGCCAGTACCAACACGCTGAGCATATCTACCTTTCTTCAAGAATCGACCAACTCTTCCGACTGGAAATTGAAGTCCGGCTCTGACAGATCTGGTGACTGACTTCTTCCTTGGTCCTCCTCCTTTCCTTCCTCCAGCTCCCTTCTTCACCTTTGTGCTTGCGTCCATTTCGAGAATTGGAAAACAATATTATAGCTACGAATTCGCTGTATTGTAAGAAACTGTAAGAACTAGAGATGAGGAGATGAAAATGAATTTGGTGTTGGCAAGGTTTTATACTCTCACGGTCTTGGTAAGGATATTGTTTTGAAAACATATCCACCGTTGGATTATAATTTATCTATGGCTCTGTGTAACTTACCTGGCAATCCGTGTTTTTTAAAAGCAACCAATGGGGACGAATTAATTACAAAGTACTATCACATATATCTTCCGAACACATTTATAAATAATAAATAAAAAATTAAATTTATTCAATAAATATATTAATTATTTAATAAATTTAAAAAGAAAATATTATTTATAAATGTATCCAAAAAATATAAATAAATTGTTACATTTAATAATTGTATTATATTTTAATAAAAAATTAATTATAATAAATCATCTTATTAAATCAATTTATTTGATAGATGTGTAAAGACTATTTAATTATAGAAATGGTTTGAAATTGTGGCATCTTATTTACACCTTTAAAAAATAAAACTTTGATCATTAAACGGCCTAGAGAAAAAAGTGCATGATAAATTAATTCTAAAAATTTTTTATAAATTCTCTTTTTAATTAAAATTAAAGTTTTCTATTCTATTAGTGATCATTGATATGTTTAGTTGTGATTGATATAACGAAAATCACATTGATTTTATATATTGGCATGACTAATGGACGAGATAATTTGGATATGCTTAAGAAATATAATGGCGAAGTTTGAGCGCATAAGTCTAACACATGTGTATGATTATATATGTGACCAGTGGGAGATTGTTAGAATTTTTGGGTCACAAGTGTAATATTACATGTGTTAGGGCCATTATATAATTAGTCAGAGTTATAGTGGTCTAATTAATAATAAGTTTGTGGTTAAAAGCATAAATGTCATGAAATGTTAGGTTATTGTGTAGATACCATAAGTCAATATCTAATTTGATGAGAGGGCAAATTAGAATATTGGAAACAAAGAAATAACTTTAAGGTTATTGATCGTACCTGACCAGAATGGACCGTCACAGCTTGCTCCGGACAGAATTTGAGTGAGGTGGGGGTACCTGCAAGACACTCCGATGATAAAGTAAGTTCCAGAATGAGCAAGTAAGCAAGTAAGTCAGGAGTGTTCAATACCGGACCCTCTCGTAAGAGAGGGTATTTATAGCCCCCATCGTTGGGCCAAGGTCTCCTCATTGGGTTGGTCAAGTAGGCCCAACATGGAGACTGCCAAGTTCTATGTGAGTAGTGGAGACCCACACGTGATCCCCTACCTAGATGACTTCCTCCACAAGATCAGAAGGATATGGAAGCGATCTTTCTGGGGCCACGAATACTCAGTGATACTCGGAGGTGTTGACAGTCAACCCTACGAGGATTATGCTCGTGAGGCGCTTCTGCTCGTTGTGGATACTCCCACTGATCGTGAGGTCGTGCGTTAAGACCATTATTGGTCAAGGAGAGGATTAGAGCGTGACCTCGAGGTCCTCCTGACCGGTGGTGATCTTCCTAAGGGTAACTGGGTTCATCCCCGTGCGGTGAGGTTGTCTCCTCGCGGGGAGTAGTTGTTGCCCGACGAAGTCGAGGGCAGAACTGTTCCAGCATGCTTTGGACGACATAATTGGATTGTGCCTCACATGGAGTTGGGCCAAGAGCAGGCCCAGTCCAGAACAGAAGCTCCCCAAGTCATCGCTCCTCATGAAGGAGTTGTGACTTAACGTCTAACTTTTTCTTTCGCGAGGCGAGCTGCTCGACATGGGGCTTTCATTGAATTTGACAGAGAGTGTCGTCAGTACGTTGTTTACCCTAGCAGAGTTCGGAAACGATTCGAGGTGGAATTGTTCTAATTGTTCCTCGACTCGCGGGGAGGAGATAGCGCACCTGCCAGCCACGTGACGTGGCCTTTGGGATATCAATGATGGCCTAGGAAATAGGGGTCATCATTAACAAAGCACGTAGGTGTCGAGGAGAAAGGAGGCTTATGAGTTGCCCGATGCGACATTCGCATTCCACGTCAATCCTATAAATAGCGCTTCAAGGCTCATTATTCCCTTTTATATTTTCACGCTCTCCCCTTTCTCTGCTGCCAACGTCGTGTTGTCTTCTGTAACCGCCAAAACCGCTGCATATTCCGCCGTGTATTCCCTATTTACCATTGTCGTTCTTCATTTATTCTTCTTCAAGTAAGCATTTCTTTCGTAATACTCTGCATGTAGATTGTTTTTGATGATGTTTTGGTAGTAAGACTTAGCGACTAAGGGTTTTTCCTAGGGAATCCACGGGTTTAGGCATATAATTTATGATTATGCCTGGGAGATTCATCTTCTGATCGAGACTTAGATGAATCTTCCCTATATCCCCGCGAGACTCATGACTGTTACACATAAAATTGTTGCGATCCTCGGTGAATTCATGAGTTTGGTTGACAAATTTATGAGTTTGGTTGACAAATTCATGAGTTTGGTCGGTAAACTCATACTCTTCCCGTCGTACTCTCCCGTGCCCAGTGTATTTATGAAAAATGTTTGTCCTTATTATCGTTGTGTGATCTTATAAGACTGGCATGATTTTCATGGGTCGGTCGGGAGGCATGTGTTTCCCCTTTCTGCGCGAATGGCTATCGACTTGGTTTGGGCGTTGCTTAGCCTCTTCATCTGCATCGTGGAAAGGTGGATTTGGATTTGCTGTTGAATTCACTGGTTTTCTCGGCTTTGTAGGTAAATGGCTGACACTCCTGAATCGTCAGAGCATATGGACAACAAGGAGACCAATGTAGCCGAGGAGGGCGCCAATTTGGTCAACACAATCGACGATCCTGCTTTGGATTGGGTTGGCACAGAGCCCCGAGGGATAGCCTCAATATTTTGTCATCCCGGGAGGCAAGCCTATATTGTCGTCGAGTATGGCGGCGACCAAGAAGGTTTTCAGAGGAACTTCAAAATCATGAGGCCGACGCCAGATGCTCGCATATGCTCGGAGTTTACCCAAGATGCTTTCCTTATGTACGAGGTCGTATTCAAACACCTGGGACTCTGACTTCCCTTCAATGACTTCCAAATGTGGGTGTTCAATCACTTGAACTTGGAACCCTCTCAGCTTCATCCTAACGCTATTGCCTTCATCTGGGCATTCGAACTTACTTAACGGTTCCTGAGGATCGGGGCGACCATTCCCCTGTTCTTCAGGGTTTTTCATCTGCAAAGGCAGTCCCAGGGAGGGAAACACAATTGGGTATCCCAGAAACAGTCGAAGAGGCTGTTCAGAATGTATATGGGTTTTGTTCGCGACTTTAAGGACAGGTGGTATGTCTTGCAACCCTCCACCCAAACAGCCTTGGATGCCCTGTTTGACCTAGCTTCCGTCATGGATGAGGATGGAGAACCGTGCTACGACGCTGAGGGTAATCCGTAGATCGGTAGAATCTCGAAGTTTCCCATCCACTGGTGTTTGGCCCATTATAACCATGGTCCAGGACATTACCACACTTCTGTCGGTGGTATGAGCTTCGATGACGAAGAGGCATATGGCATCCTCAATCGATTTGTCGATGATTTCTTCCTCGCTCGTTGGGTCACGAGGGAAGGACACGATATCCTTGATGAAGACGGCGAGCCGACGTTCGAGGCGCGCCCGATCAATACCAAGGTGTTGGTCGAGTGTCGATCTTATGGATAGGTCGTGGCACTTTTAGGTCTTTACTTGCTTGGTTCTTATATTTTTACTTGCTTTCTTGTTTTATTTTCCCGAGGCTGACCCGAGGATACTTTTTGTTTTGCAGGTAACATGGAGGAACGTCGCGAGAGGCTGTTGAAGCTGACCTAAGATAAGAAAAGCCACAAGAGACTGGTGAATCCGCATTATCCTACGGGCATGGGGTCGGTTTCCGATCCGGCCAATGAAGGATCTAGTGGCTCGTCGGGGACCCGTGTGGCCGACCGGCAAGTTGCTACGTTGGGTAGGAAAAGAATTTGCACGATGGATGGGACTGCTGATGTGAATGGAGGGGCTACTGCTCGAGCCTTCAGCCTCCCGCCTTGCTTTTCCGAGAAGGATTTCTTTAAGGGATTCCTTCTAACTATGTATGACAACGAGTCTGATATCATAAGGCGACTCGACGACGAAGGTAGAAGGAAGCACCTGGATTCCAGCATGGTCGGGGTGATGAATATGGCGGAGATGGTTGTGGTCCTCGCGGGTGAAGGGGCCAGCTCCTCAGGTCGGGTAAAGGAACTGGAATTAGAGAATGTGACTCTTCAAGCGAAGACACGGAAACTGAAGACCGCCCTGGGACGAAGTGAAGAGAAGTTTCAGGAACAAAGAGAGAGCTGATAAAGCCCTCAAGTAAAGGGACGGTCTCCTGCTCCACCGGAATTTGTGGGAGAGGGAAAGGGAGCGGCTGGAGATG